TTTTGGTTGCAGCCATCATTGTTGTTTGGCGGGTCCGGGCTGGGGATTCGAACCCGCCACCTTAGGTGTATGTGGCTGGCGCTTTAGCCGCTTGAGCCACAGGCGCCGAGCCCTCAATGTTTATTAACAGCTGATGTTATTACACATCTATGAAGAGCTTGGGATGGAACACTGACATGTGAACTAATGTAGGCTCATGTTCTGGCAAGCTCCATGTAATATAACTACACCTAAGCAGTACATAAAGAGCAAATTGGAAAAATTAAAGCAATTGTTCCCAAAGCCCCAGAATGTGTATGTCGTTGCCCATTAAAGCATTGATTCTAAGCAATACACGTTATCCTCCCATTCTAAGAAGACTGCAGGGACAGCAGGATTGAAGTGAAACCCTAGTCATCCCACACGAGTATTGACTGAGATAGTGATTATCTTGTGGCTCAAAAGAGAAGTCAAAATCCAAAGGAAATGATGTGTCCTCTGGGAGGAGGTGTAAGAAACTTGTTTTGGGTGGGGTGTATACTGCACTATTTTTTTGTGATTGTCATACTAAGTTATCACAAACTCTGTGGCTTAAAACAATAGAAATTTATTTTCTCACAGTTCTGAGTACCAGAAATCAGAAGTCAGGGTGTCAGCAGCCCCCAGAGGCTCAAGTTGGAAGATCCACTTTGCCTATCCAAGCTCCTTCTGGCTGCCTCCATTCCTTGGTTGGAGGCCACTCCGGTGTCTGCTTCCACCTTCACATCACTTTCTCCTCTCTGTGTATGCTAATCTCTCTCCTCAAAGGATACTTGCAGTGGAATTTAGGGCCACCTGGATAATCCTGGATAGTCACTCCATCTTAAGACCCTTGGCTTGGTCCCATTTGTAAAGACCTTCTGTCCAAGTAAGGATTCACAGGAAGTTAGGCTGTGGACATATGTTTGGCAGCCACCATAAGACTGCCACAGGTTACTCTGGGTAAAGTAAAAAAATCCAAAAGGAATGGATTTATATCAGACAGGGTGTTTTTAAGTTGGGGCGGGGGAACCCACTTAAACAATTTAAAGAAGACGACTTTATAGAGAGGGATCCTTGCATGGAAAACATAATCACTAGGTAAATCAGATGGAAACCCTCTGTGAAACAGACTATGGTTTAATATGATGAAACAGACCCATGATTTCACAGAAATGGACCAGCCCTGGGGAATCCCTGTCATGTCTGTAGCATCGGGCTGACCCTAAATGGAGTAGGACACTAGCATTAGTATATCCAAAGTAGGTCACCTGGGGAAGAAGGAGATTAAAAATCTTCCCCTAGACTTGCTACATCAGTATATACCTACTAATTCCGAGACATTAGCACCTGAGGATATGTCTGATACATCAGATTTAATGGGAGTCAGGGTTGTTTTTTTGGTTTGCTTTTGGTATTTTATGACCCACCTTCTTGGTAGGTGGGTGGGGAGGGAGAATCATTGTCAGCCTAACTATCTGGCTGGCAAAGAAAATGATGATGTTTCTGGGTGGGAGTTCCGGTCAATACAAGTGTGAGACTCTCAGAAGGAAACTGAGTATTCCATCGTGCCAGCTCCTGTGTCTAGTGCCAGTGTTCTGATTTTATAGTGATTGCTACAATCTGAACATTTGTACCACCTTTGTTTCTCCAATTTTACACATTAAAACCTAAGTCTCCAGTGGTAAGATATTCAAAGGTGAGGCCTTTGGGAGGTAATTAGGTTCCAAGGACTCAGCCTTCAGGAATGGGGTTGATGTTTTTATAAGGGTGGACATGAGAGAGAGGATCTCTCTCTCTCTGTCTGCCATGTGAGGATGTAACAAGAAAACAGCCACCTACACACCAGGATGAGTGCCTTCACCAGACCCTGGATCTGCTGGCACCTTGATCTTGGACTTCTCAGCCTCTAGAACTGTGAGAAATTAATTTCCATTGTTTAAACCACACAGTCTAAGGTATTCTGTTAGAGCAACCTGAATAAACTAAGATACTGTCCCATCCCATCAAGCTAATGCCAGTCCCTGCAGGAAGAATGATCTATGTTGAACATGAGATTTTTCATTGTAAAATTTTCCCTTAGTCCTGCTTCATTTGCCAGCTAACAGCAGGTTGCCAGCCCTTAACTACTCCAGGCTGGCATCTAGCTGGAGGTATCTGAAAACCTTTAGCTTGTAGGATTAGTTTCTAACCCAGTACCAACTGTGGTTGGAAGCGTTTGTGAGCCTCACTCACCATACCGTAGTGGGGTACCCTACCTTGATGCTTGAAGCCTAATCTCTAATCTTTGGAGTGACTCTCATCAGCCATAGGCTCCTGGCCCTGCCTCTGACCCCCCAAACCGGACCTCTACAGTAGAGTCAGTTGCATGAATGTGTGACCTGGTTTTCCAAGGTCACTTCAAGGGCTTGGAACTTGCTTTAATGGTCCTCAGGTGTCATTTTGAAATTCAAAGTAATTTCACCTTGAACTTGAGTTTTGTAAGCAGAGTCCAATGGGACTCCAAGGGGACAATGGAGCCTACATGAGAAGCAAGCACGTGAGCAGAAGAGATATGCCCCATACATGTTTGCCATTCCTTCTTATGAGCATTCCTGATGCCACATCATGAGCACAGAATTCCAACGGACCCATGTTGTGTAGGAGTAAGAAGGACTGAGTGAGCCGAGGGGGCAATGCCAACAGCCCGGAGAGATCGTGCTTTCTCTTTTATCTAGAACTTGCTCCAAATGCAAAAAGTAAGCAATGGCCCTATCATACCCTTTCTTATTCATGTTACTTTCCTTTATCAGCTGACCACTTACTCTAAAAATGATGACATGGAAGGCCAGGAAAAGTTAGGGCAACCCACAGTTCCTTTTCATTTCAGTCCTTCCTCCATCAGTAGTCAGCTAAAGGCAGAGTGTGCTGGGAACAGGTGCATGTTATAAAGTGAGATAAAGTGTTGAGTTGGTTGCATGCAGCAAAACTAACCAGCACTTAATATTCTGGTAAGCATGAAACACAGGCACATACAAGCTGCAAAATATAAATTGTGCATTTTTGGTGATTCTGCACGTGAGTTAAAATCTTATGTTTGCATTTTAAAATGTCGTTGCACAACATAAAGATGCACTGTAAACATGCTAATAATTTAAAATTTTAATTTTTCTTTACTGGGAATGATGTTAAGTAGCAAACAAAAAAAAAGCATGACAAGTTAAGAGACTGATGAGCATTCCTGATGCCTCATCATGAGCACAGAATTCCAGTGGAGGGCTCATCTCTTCATCGTCAGCCACCTTCCATTTTATTAGCGCATGTGCGCACACACATAAACACCCCCACAGCCACACCCACAGAAGCACATTACAGCACAGGAGGAAAATTAAGGACTTAGCCCCCTTTAAAGACTAACCTGATTCAGGTTCTGGTTCAGGGGCCGCAGATCCTTCAGATTCAACAGGTAACAGCGACCCTCTGGGCTCTTCCGATGCTTCAGTTGCCTCAGATTCTTCACGAACTTCAGATCCCTCACCTTCACTCGTCTCTTCAGCCTCATTAAACAGATCTTCAGCTTCTGGGGAAAAAATGGAAGAAATTAGATTGCTTGAACCCACCACCCAGGACTTTGAGGTTGTTGTGAGCTACCAAGATACCACATTTGGCTAATTAAAAAAACAATTTCTCTAGAGGTGGGAGTCTTGCTAGGTTGCCCGGTCTTGTCTCAAACTCCTGGCTTTAAGCAACCCTCCAAAGCCTCCCGAGTTGCTGGAATTGCAGGCATGAGGATTTTATTCTAGCTAATTAAAAACAGTAAATGGTGTAGTATGTGACTATGTTAAATGTAAATTTTAAAAGTTTAACTCTGAGTTTTATGTAGATGCTGATGACTGCTAAGTGAATGTATGTTTGGAATTCTTTCAGGAAGAAGACGGCATGAATGCTGGTGTCACCAAAGCCCTCTCCCTAATTTCCTCTTATATACTTATGAAATTGATGTAATACTTACAAAAATGAAAAACAAGGTACTTTTTATGCAAAGATAATATGAAAAAATAAATGAGCTTGTTTTCTGGACTCTTATGGGAATTAATTCCCTCAATGAATACCTCTAAGAATCACTTTCTAGCAGTGTGACAAACTTCTGGCATCTGAATTTTAACCTAAATCTGGATGATTAACCACCAAGAGAAAGGCATCTCCAAATATTCTTATATCTAGGTTTAAACAAGGGCTACCTGGAAGTGGTTTCCAAGTAATCTGGAATGTGGTGACTCTGTGTTAGGTGGAGGATTTCATGGTAATATACACAAGGATGAAGCAGCATTTGTTGAATCCTCCTATGGTTTAGGATGAAGATACATGCTCTACAGAGGAATTTAAAACTTCTTTCCACTGCATATCTCTTATAGTTAAAAAAAATGTATTGCATACCTCCAATAAGTGTATATAGGTTGTGTTCTTATCCATATCAAGTACATTATAAAACATAAAAAAGAGGCCGAGTACCTGGCTTGCACCTATAATCCTAGCACTTTGGGAGACTGAGGCAGGTGGATTGCCTGAGCTCAAGAGTTTGAGACCAGCTGGAGCAAGAGTGAGACCCCATCTCTACTAAAAATAGAAAAAGATAGCCTGATGTTGTGGTGGGTATCTTTATTCCCACCTACTCGGGAGGCGGAGGCAAGAGGATGGCTTGAGTCCAGGAGTTTGAGGTTGCTGTGAGCTACCAAGATGACATGGCACTCTACCCAGGGTGATAGGGTAAGACTTGATCTCAAAAAATAATAAATGATAAATAAAAAAGAATTCATATAATCATGCAGGAAAATGTAAAAAGTCCAAATCCTTTCTTCCAAAGCCCTAATGGATAATCGTATATCATATAAATCAAGAATGGATTGAGAAGTGGTGTAAGGTCTTTAAACTGTCTGGAATTTTGACTGCTAATTATGGGTTATACTAGTTGCACTGATTCATAATAAATTACCCAACACCTTAGTGGCTAAGGATAATTCCATATTATCCTTGCAGTTTCTGTGGGTCAGGAATTGCGGAGTGGCTTGACTGGATGGCTCTGGCTTAGGGTCTCTCATGAAGTTGTAGTGAAGATAGCGATCCAGGCTGCAGTCATCCAAGGACATGCCCAGGGCTGGCATATGCACTTCCAAGGTGGATCACTCAAAGTTAGAACTGAGATCCTCAGGGAGCAGAGATGAGCTGTTATCACTGTGCACCACCCAGAGTCCTGACCCCAAGTATCGTGTGCATAATAAAAGAGGTGGTGGTTTTTACACCATGAAGTTTTGGGGTGGCTTGCTGCACAGCGTGTAAAACTGAAACAGATACTCGGCTCGTTTGAGCCATGAACTCCTGCGGCAGTATAGTGAAATTTATAGGGTCCTTCTCAGAATAAGGATTTCAAATTCATGAAATACATAAGAAGCCAATTATGTTGAAGAGCAGTCATCAATATATAAAAAATTTTGTGCTATAGGAAATTAGTGCATTTTTAGTAGTGTATTAAAGAGCAAGAACTAGCAACTGGTTTAATAACTACCATCATTTTGAAACAGCATAAACAAAATATGTAAAACCATAATGGGATATGAAAATATCTTCATTTCTACTGGTGACAAAGTTGAAGTATTGCTAATACTATTGTGGTTCGTTGTTTGTATTAAGTACCTAATGAATTAGTGAAAATCAGCTTGGAGTTATTTTCCCATTAATTTCACAGACCCCTGAATTTTACTCAAGGATCCCAGGTTGAGAACTCTAGTCTCAAAATCAGCCCGTTAGAGTAATGGAGATGAAAGTTCAAGTGGAAAGCCAATGGGCATGTCGTAAGAGTTTGGCTGTTTTCTCAATTATTGCAAGACTCCTTCTAATGGAAATGATTCCAAAGCTTTCTGTCACCCGTGACAGGAGCAACTATCTAGACAAATTTGGAATCCTTCTGCTGTGTAGCCCTTGCAGAGTGGCACAAGTAGGTATCTGTGTCAGGACTCTTTCTCTGTGAATCCGTTGCTCCAGTTGGCCCCATATGATTTTTTTTTTTTTTGAGACAGAGCCTCAAGCTGTCCCCCTGGGTAGAGTGCCGTGGCATTACAGCTCACAGCAACCTCCAACTCCTGGGCTCAAGCGAGTCTCCTGCCTCCGCCTCCCAAGTAGCTGGGACCACAGGCGCCCGCCACAACGCCCGGCTATTTTTTGGTTGCAGCCGTCATTGTTGTTTGGCGGGTCCGGGCTGGGGATTCGAACCCGCCACCTTAGGTGTACGTGGCTGGCGCCTTAGCCGGTTGAGCCATAGGCGCCGAGCCATGATTTTTTTTTTTTATCCAAATTGGAGCACTGAGAATAAAAGGGAGTAGTAGAAATACTTTGGGACCATAGGCATAAATGTGGACTTTCACAGTAAATTGGGAAATGTTATCACTCTGTCTATAATTCACTTGAAACATTGCAGTTGCTTACAGTAACTATACAGTGACATGTCATTAGTCATATCAATCTGTGTTTACCTTTTGTTTTTAAATTCATAACTTCCATTAGCCTTTGTTTTTCTTCCTCTTGTCTCGATGCCTCTTCTGTGGCTTTTCTGAAAAGAAAAGGTTGAAAATTCAATTACCTTTGGAAATTCAGACATTTCACAATATTATATGAAGTATTCCCCAAAAGGAGATGAGTTAAGTAAAGAAGAGTCCATGCCTATCAGTAGCTCATGCTGAGGCCACAGCTCTCCTAAGACCTGTCCTTCTCTCAAGCTCAGTGCTCTTTGCGTCCATTTTGCCTTCCTTTGAAATCTAGTTACATATAGTCTCTTCAGAAGACTTTCCTATACCCCTTTTTCCAACAGGTCTGTTTCCTGTTAATAGATGGTATTCTTTCACTGTGTTCCAGATCCCACGTTCCAGCCTGATGTCCTGGTGCAACTCAAATTCTCTTTATTCATTTCAGGACTCTGATGTCTGAGACTACCGAATATTGCTTCTGAACTCCTTCTCTATTTCGGCTGTGTCTGCAAACAGGCGCACCCATTTTACTGTGCTTTGCTTTTATACTTCACTGGTATTACACTATTTACAAACTGAACGTTTGTGGCAACCCTGCATGGAGCAAGTCCATTGCTACCATTTTTCCAACAGCACGTTCTCGCTCATGTTTCTATGTCACATTTTGGTAATTCTCACAACTTTCAGATCCTTCCTTCCTTCCTTCCTCTCTCTCTCTTTCTCTCTTTCTCTCTTTCTCTCTTTCTTTCTTTCTTTCTTGTCTCATTCTGTTGGCCTGGAGGCCTGGATAGAGTGCTGTGGCATATTTTTCTCACAACAACCTCAAACTCCTGGGTTCAAGTGATCCTCTTACCTCATCAACCTCCTGAGTAGCTGGGACTACAGGCACCCACCACAAAGACTGGATAATTTTCCTATTTTTAATAAAGATGGGGTCTTGCTGTTTCTCAGGCTGGTCTTGAACTCCTGAGCTCGAACAATCCACCCATCTTGGTCTCCCAGAGTGCTAAGATTACAGGCATGAGCTCAGCCTAGAATTTTTCATTATAGTGATGTATTATGGTTATTTGTGATCGCTGACATGGCTATTGTCATTGTTTGGAGTGTCACGAACTACCCCCATATAAGATGGTAAACAATGGATAAGCATTATGTGTGTTCTGGCTGCTCCACTCTGGCCACTCCCCTGTCAGGCCTTCCCTAGGCCTCCTTATTCCCTGAGACACAAAAATGCTGAAATGAGGCCAATTAATAACCCTACAATAGCTTGTAAGTGTTCAGATGCAAAGCCCCACATCTTTCACTTTCAGTCAAAAGCTAGAAATGATTAAGGTGAGGAAGGTATATCAAAAGCTGAGATAGGCCCAGATCCAGTCTTCTTGTGCCAAGTTGTGAATACCAAGGAAATATTCCTGAAGGAAATTAAAAGTGCATTCCAGTAAACACAAGAATAATAGGGAAATGAAACAGATATTGTTATTGCTGATACGGAGAAAGTTTCAGAAGTCTAGATAGAAGATCAAACTAGCCACAACATTCCCTTGAGCCAAAGCTGGTCTGGAATAAAATCCTAACTCCCCTTAATTTATGAAGTCTGAGAGAGGTGAGGAAGTTGCAGAAAAAAAAACGAAGCTAGCAGAGGTTGGTTCATGATGAGGCCTAAGGGAAGAAGCCATCTCCATAATACCCAAGTGTGAGGCGAAGCAGCAAGTGCGGATGGAGAAGCTGCAACAAGATCTAGCTGTTTAGCAGCATGTTTACCAAATATTTTAAGTCTACTATTAAGACCTACTGCCCAGGAAAAAAAAATCCTTTCAAAATACTACTGCTCATTAAGAATGCATCTGGTCACTTAAGAACTCAGATGGGGCACCAATACTATAGAGAAATTCTTCATGAAAGGAAGAGTAAATTGACCTGACAAACTTACTTGTCTTATTTTAAGAAATTGCCATAGCCTTCCTAACCTTCAGCAAACACCAAATCTGATTAATCAGTTGATAGCCATCAAAATCAAGGAAATTCCACCATCGAAAAAGATTATGACTGGCTGAAGGCTCAGGATAATGAATGGTTAGCCTTTTTTTGTTGTTTTGTTTTGCAGTAAAGTATTTATAAATTATGATAAGTATATATTTTTAGACATAATACTATTTCCCACTTCAGTGACTACCCGATAGTGTAAACAACTTTTTTTTTTAATTTTTTTTTTGAGACAGAGCCTCAAGCTGTCCCCCTGGGTAGAGTGCCAAGGCATCACAGCTCACAGCAACCTCCAACTCTTGGGCTCAAGTGAGTCTCCTGTCTCAGCCTCCCAAGTAGCTGGGACCACAGGCGCCTGCCACAATGCCTGGCTATTTTTTGGTTGCAGCCATCATTGTTGTTTGGCGGGCTGGGCTGGATTCGAACCTGCCACCTTAGTTGTATGTGGCTGGCGCCTTAGCCACTTGACCCACAGGCGCCGAGCTGTAAACAACTTTTGTATGCACTGGGAAACCAAAAGGAGTGACTTGTTTTACTGAACCAGCAATATTTCTGAGATATGCCTATACTTCAGACAGGGCTTTTTTTGGGTGACATCTTTTTTATTCAAAACCTAGAAAAAGTATGTTGCTGTTAAGAATTCAAGACCTGACCAGAATGAGGAAGAACTTTGCTGCTAGTTATTAAAAACTTCTACAAAACCACTTGGATAGAAGATCCAAAGACAAACAATGATGACAGAAAGTATCTTGCCATCTGATAGGCACATTTGGAAACTGATGCTGAAAAAGTTGTAGGATTTGGTGTGTCTTTAGACATTTGACCCAAGATGATGTTCTCGATCCTGTTAAGTTTTTTCTAACGAACTTGTACAGCTTTTAAATGAGTCTCTGATCATTTTCCCTCTCTTTTTAACTATCTTACATTTCATTTTCTGTAGTACATGAAAAAAATTGTTTTGAAATACATTGAATTTCAAAAATCAACATGTAAAAACATTGAAAAGCTTGTTTCCATCTAGGAAAGTGGCATTAAGAAGTTTATGAAAGTATTTAGAATCAAAAGAAGTAAAAATTAATTACAGAAATGGCTTAGAAAATTTTATAAGGTAACAGTGAGGTGAAGGTAGAGTTGGGAGAAAGTGAAGGAGGTTCTGCTTCTTTTTAAAAAAAATTATAGATGTATATATTTTTTATATTTTTAAAATGTAGTAGATCCTAAGTCTAGAACTTACATACTTTATTTTACTCTGACATTGAGATTGTCATGTGTTCTCAAATATTTGACTTTTCTTTTTTTTTCTTTCTTGTTTGAGATAGTCTTACTCTGTTGCTATAGTCTCATCCTAGCTCACAGCAACCTCAAACTCCTGGGTTCAGTGATCCTCTTGTCTCAGCCTCCTGAGTAGCTGGGACTACAGGCGCCTGCCACAATGCCCAGCTAATTTTTCTGTTTTTAGTAGAGATGGGATCTCAGTCTTGCTCAAGTTTGTCTTAAACCCCTGAGCTCAAGTGATCCTCCTACCTTGGGCTCCCAGAGTGTTAGGATTATAGGTGTGAGCCACCATGCCTGGCCTGATTATTTCTTATATACCAAAAATTAAGTTATTCCTTAATACTAGCAGATTGTGGCTCTATTTATAACAAAATTGTACAAGTTTTAAAAGCTAAAGTAAATCTAGTAAGTTTGTAATTAGCGTCTGAATGAAAATACTCTTTAGTCAATGTGTCAAATAACTTTATTAACAAATTTAGCTAAGTTATACTCACATATTTTTATGTTAAGTTCCTAAAGGAATGACTAAAAAACATTCCTCTGATATACACATCTTACTCAACCTCTCTGTGCCTCTGCAATTACCTACTTTTGAGATTTATAATTTCAGGAGTTTAAAAAGCTTTCCTAAATCTAAGCTCATATTGCTAATATCTGAAGGGGGGAATGAAATGCCCCCCTTTATAGCTGACCAAACTATAAATGCCATCATTAATAGCAGGAGGGTTAGTGGATTTTAATAGAGAAATGTCGTTCTTATATGTCTAGGCCTTTATCACTTGGCCTAGAAATCTCAGTGGACAAATTAAAATGTGAAATATTTGAAAAGTATGTTTCAGCAAGGAAGAACAATTAGCAAATGAAGTCACAGTTTTTTAAACTTTATTTTTCAACCTAAAGTACATTGTAGTCTATTAGAGTTTAATATTGACTCTTGCCATGAATAGAAACATGGTCACATTTTTTAAAGTTATTCATGATGCCCAGATTACAGAGTAAGTCCTTAATGTTAAACCTGTCCAATATGAATAACCAGCCTTGTGCTTTCCTTTTGTGGAATTTAGGCTTTGGACATCAGTCACATCACTCAAGTGCATTCTCATTTACTTCCTATCCTCTTGTTTCTTCAATTTGTGGATACCAGTAAATGAAGTGAAGTCACAGATGAATATGGTAAAAAATTTGTATCTTATGCTCATTTTTTAACAGTCTCATTGGAGAGTAGATGCTTGATGTAGAATAAGTTTCGTATACGCTGTGAAATTTAGAGATTCTAGAAGTGTTTGTGAAATCACTGGGCTTTTCTTAGAATCAGTTAGAATTGGATCAAATTAATAAACAATTTTGATAGTATCTATATAAGTCTAAATCCCAAGAAGATAGTTAACAGCTACAAAAGGCACATTAATCTATTTTATCGTTTCAGTCAGGTTTTACCTTGCTGCTTCTTCCTCCTTCTTTTTCTTTTGTTCGTCTGATAATCTTTCTAAAATCTTCGCATCAATTTCAGATTTATTCTTTAAATATAGCCGATTAAGTAAGTATTTTCCTGAAATACAGATAAAGAGAATAGTATTATTTTTGAAGCTTGCAAAATAGAGAGAAATATACTATTTTGGAAATTAAAAAAATTAATTTCTGCCTATATTCAAAGGTATCCATAAATAGAGCCCAGGTTCTTTAAAACATTTATAGACCATCTTAAATCCTTGTTAAAAAGGTATGTATTAGTATAGCATAAATAATTAAAACACGAAGAGAGTTAGTATCCATATTTTTCCTCTGGAAACTTTCACGTCAAGACTATTTCTTTAGGAAGCAAAAGGACAGAATAAATAAAAGTTAGCTCAGCTGTCTTTATGTCCCTATCTTTTACCACTTGAAGGGAAGAAGGACAAATATATAGTCTTTGCCCTTAGTCTTATATATTGTTCACGTAGAAGGTATAGTTTCTGACTTGTGGTATATGTGTGTATGTGTAAGTGTGTGAAATTTTCAGCTTCACGAGCAAGGGCCTGCTAGAACACTCAGCAGACCAGTGCTTATCACTGGTCACCTCCTTGGTAGAAGGAAGCCTCATTTTGTGGACATCTAGGTCCTGCAGAGATTGCTGGAGTGGTACTTTGATCTAGGAAGGATGAAGAGTTTTCCATTCCATATTTTAACCAACAATATTATCAGCAATAAAAACTCCACTTTCAAATGTCCATAATAAATATTTACCAACCATCATTTTCGGTATCTGATAAACAGATGATCAAATCAGGCATAATTCCTTTCTCGAAGATGAGCGCCCACAGTTCTTTAATAAGAGGGCAGTTGTCCAGAATCCATCCTCCTTGTTCTGGGGCACCAGAAAACCTATTCCTGTTTTCTGTCGTTACCTGTGAGAAATTGTGCACTGATATTACCATCATAGCTTGACAAGTCAAGGGTGCCACCTGGATGTGCAATTTTTGTAGATCTTAAACAAGTATCTTTGGACTTCTTTTGACTTTCAGAAGGAAAACCCCATAAACGCATTAATGGGCACAGCTATGATTTAATAAAAAAAAAAAAACAACCTTGAGATTTTTATTAGAACTGCATCAAATCTATAAATGAATTTGAGAAAGACACATTAAGAAGATTTTGTTTTTATACATGAGAATTGATCTATTTCTTGGCCTCAGCTTTTGTTCACAAAGTTTAATAATTTTATTCACATGGACCCCCTTATCTTTTTATTACAAACTTATTATTATTTTACATTTATGTTCCTGTCATGTATGGATTTTTTTATTCCTTTGGCTATCTTATTTCTTATCCACTAGCAATAATTACGTGTTGGATAAACCTCTATGGCTATACGGCTACTGGCTGCCTTATTTCTGAACATGCTCACTTGCTCTTATTGTTTTTTAGATTATTTGCTTGGATATAATAAAAAATATACAGTGCAAGTTATTATATTATAAGTGCAGAAATTATTATATTTCTCCTCTGTTCCGAGAGTTGTTCCTCTTATTTATGTTCCAAGCCATTTTGTACAGCTAAATTTTCCATAGATCATTAAAAATGGGTGTGATAGGGATATTATTGTCTCATTATATGGTCTGCATTGAGATATTCACTTGTGTTTGTTCCTGCTATATTTTTTCCAGGCTCTCCACACTCCTTGTCTTTAGGAGAAGTCCACATAGCAGCAGGGCTGAGTGCAGAAGCTATCTTCCTGACTTCCATTTTACCCAAGAGATTCTGATGTAGGTGGGAAAAGATCATATGCTGAAATGCTACAGAGTAAGAGAAGCGAGAAAGGAAATATGATGGGCCCAGCCAAGGCTTCAGGAGAAGAGACGGATGAGAGGAGAGGTGCTACTGTCTCTGAAGCAGTGCAAGCTACCCAAGTCCAGGAAAACTCAAAGCCGAGGTGGGGAAAGGTTTGGGAAATGAAGACTCGGATGTCTAGGGATGCAAGTTTTGGATGTCTCACCAGCAACAGCTTCAGGTTAGGAATTATCAAGGTGATTCCTCAGTTGGGATCATTGCAGGGAGAAAGTAAAAACCCTCCTTGGGATTTCATATAATAAAGAATTCCAGAACATGTGGCCAAGCCTGGAGACTGTGCTTTGAAGGAGTTGGAGTCAGGAGTGCGGGTGGCACAAGAAGCCTTTACCCATGGCCTGTGTCCAGCCTGGCTGTCACCAGAGAGGCATGGAATTGGGCTTTCAGGTGTCTGATCAAGTACAATTACAGTGGTGCTTAATTTTGTTCATAACAGAAAATTTACCAAAGAGCATTTGTAATTGTTCACGAGGGTACTTTACATTCAATGATGCTGACAATGAAATGTACATAATTTTGAAGGCTACAAATTTCAATACTGTAGAATAAGACACTAAAATATTTATGCATATACTAGATCAACATTTTCTTTGTTATAGCTAAATCCATAAAAAAAAGCTTTTTTTTTTTTTACCTCTGTGAGGACTTCCTCTAAGATTTCAGCATGTTTTACATACGGATGTTCAAAGTTCATATCCTTTGATGCTTTTACAGTCACTTCAATCATAGACAGAACCTCTGGATGATTTGCAGTTACCTCATCTATTGAGACTTCCAATGCTAAAGTAAATTAAGTTATAAATTAATGCCATTAATACTTTCAGCAATAAAACATGGTTGATGGATACTACCCAACCCAAGACGTATCGTCTTCGTGCTGCTGCAAAACGCGCTGGAAGACGGGGGGAAATAAGACAAGGAGGAGGAAATGCTAAGTCAGGAAACACACAGTCAGAAACTATCAGAGGACTGACCTAAAGCCAGTGCACCAGAACGAGGATGAATGGGGGAAGAAGTCCCATCAGGCAGGCGTCAAAATCAACAAAAAAAGGCAGGGACCAGAGTGTTTCAGAAATCAAATGAAAACATGAGCATCTAGAGTCAGAAAACAAGAGAAATACTTTCAGTTATTACTTGGGATGGCAAGAGAACAGGAGGGAGGCAAGTTGGAGGGAATGGGGAAAAAGTGGCATAGGCTGGGTGTTCAAGTGTCACATTTGATTCTTGCCCCCTTTGGTGCTGAAGTGTCTCCTTGCATGACTGAATTGGCTCTCAGGCTGCATCATGATGCAATGCGTATCCATCCCTCTAATGAGATAGGAGCTGGGCGACTCCAGCTAGGTTGACTAATCTACCTCTGCACTTGCAGTCGAGCTTCTGAGCTGCTGTCCCCGGGCCCTATCTCTCAAGGTCTCTACTGGAGCCCAGTTGATCCCAGTCCAGAAACCCTCAAATGGGGGCCTTCAAAGAGCAGCTGCCTATTGCCCTCCTGGCCTGAATGTGTTCTCAAGGATAGACAGAGCCACAGTCTCTGGAGAACCAGAGCAGAAAAATCAAGAATCCATGATCTTCCTAGTAGCCATGAGAGTGGGGGACATGATAAGGCAAAAATAGCCAGGCAAAATTGCTAAGAGCTGCTAGGTGTCCACCCCATATCCCTTCTTTCTTCCTTAGTAAGCAAAGTGCCCAGCTAAAATACATATATATATATCTCCCAATTTTTCTTATAGTTTGGATAGCCAAAAAGATGCAAGCACAATGTGTGTGTGTGTATGTTCCTATTGTCTCTTTGAGAGAGACAGCTGAGTGCCAGTTTTTGTCCCTTGCTTTCCCCCCTCTTCTTACTAGGAACACTGTCGTGATGGCTGGAGCTCTAGCTGCCATCTTGTGTATTATTATAGTAGCTACATGCTGTGGGTGGCAGAGCAGAAAGATAGATTGCCTGTCTTCCCAATATTCTTTCTCACCAAAACAACATATCATGTGCTAATATTTTGTGTGTGTTCCTGCATGTTCAACTGCCTTTAAGATGGCATAAGGTGGGTATTAATAATGCTTTTTAAAAAAGAATCACACATTTCTTCTTTAAATTTTGAAGGAGCTACTTGTGTTTTTTAGAACTATAATCTAAGAGAATCAAATTACCCAAGTATTGATTTACCTTTGTCTGACAAGCCTAAATCTTGACTAGGGCCTTCAGAACTCCATCCTAATGTGGATACTTCACCGGCTCTTTCTTCATCTGTGAATAAAACATTGTCAACACCTTAGGAATGGTATTTTTAAGATATAGGTATATTCCCAAGGAAGATTGTGATATACACTCAGGGACTCAAGTCTCACGTTCCTAACTTTTAATTAAAATAATAACCATAACATTCAAATAGATAAACATATGTATCAGCAGGTAAAATGAAGATAATAATTTAACCTATAAGAAAACCAGGAGTAGTTTCCATTTACTGTAATGCCAGTGAGTCTAAATTGAAAAAAAAAAATCTACAGTGCTGTTTCTGGGGCAATTCACATCCTCCCGACTGCAGGAGGTAAAGGCTGTGCTTACCTCAGAGACATGAGGCAAGGAGGTGCCTTTTTACCAATGTCT